GGGAAGGAAGGGAGGGAGGGAGGGAGGGAGGGAGGGAGGGAGGCAAACAGTCATCCTGGTTGCTGCTGAGTACCATAATAAATTGAACGAAGCTGATTTCCAGATCACTACAATCCACATGGTTTTCGTTGTAGAAACTCAGATCCAATTCTTTTATCCGGCCGCCAAATGTGCAGTACTTGAAGAACAGAATGGATATCTGAACCATGTCCGAACATGTCAAAGCCAGAAGAGAAGTTGGAAAGAAACAAAAATTAACCAAAAGATTGAAACCTAAGGTTCATGAAAGTGTCTCCATGCCGGGCTACCAGTAGGTGAAAGAATGAAGAAAAAGTAAAAAACAGAAGCCACCACATGAACAAGAGACACAGGCAATGCTCGAGGGCATCCGTAAAAATTTGAGCCGTTTATTAATAGAAAATTAGCATGCCCCTGTCCAAGGATCAGTCCCATACAGAGGCTGAGAAATGTTCCAACTCCCAAATAATAATAATAAGGGAAAATTTTCGATATGCCCCTGAAAGTTCAATTAATTTGCACCGTGCCCCTCCTACGGCCCTGCCGTGCCCCTGGGGCCTCTGAACTTTCCTGCAGGCCCATCTCTGTGAGGGGAGAACTTTGAGGGGCATATCGGAAATTTTCCCTAATAATAATAACATAATATATAATTTCATTAATTTATAAATTATAAATACATATATAATATATAAATATATCGTCAAATAGATATATGTTACGATCCTGGTCATTTCCCAAGTGCAAATTCACAATGAAAGACAATGCCACCCAATTGCGAAAGAAATGAAAGCACTTGCAAAGAGATAAAGACCGGAGGAGAGAGAAAGAAGAAGAAGAAGAAGATGTACACCAGCAAGACCAATGACCATTCCCCCTTCTGTCTCCACCTTCTTCCTCCTCCTTCACTTCGCCAATCTTATTCTTCTCTCAATAATAATAATAACAATGAATGGATGAACCAGAATCAATATCCGAAGTTCCCTCTTACTGCTGGCTCMACAACAACACAACAACAASAACAAGTCCACCATMGCTATGGCTTCCCTCCTTCAGCCTCCTCTCTCATGCATAGGCTATGGCGGACTAATGAGGGCCCTGCCCTCCTGTCCAAAGGACAACCCAAAGCAGCTATGGCGCTGCACTCCTGTCCAAAGGACAACCCAAAGCAGCTATGCTGCTGCTGACTGGTCCGCCATGCCTGAACCTGCCTCGAGCCTCCTTGGTGCAGCACTACCCCAACTGGGGCCTTCCAGATGCAGCGCCCAACAAGGTGATGAAGACAGAGTCCACCATAGCCAGGTAGGTGCCTCGCCACTCTCCTCCTTCGCCCCCTTCTTCCTCCTTCTCAAGCTGGACCGCTCGCCATAGCTAGGCTGAGCTCCAGCTGCCCTTCAYSTCCAAGCAGCRCTGTAGCAGCCAGCGCTGTGCTCCAGCAGCATGTCGCCAATCCTTGCATACCGCAAATGAGGAGGAGCTACTTGCTCCTCCGAAAGATATAGCGGCCTACTGGCCTCCTGGGCGGTGACTTCCTAGGCCGAGCGGCCTCCCAGCAACCGGTACCTCCTCCCTTTCGGAGGGAAACATCATTGCAGGCTCTGCTAACCTCCGGACAGGCCCTAGACCCGGGCTACTTGGACTGGTACCGGCCTACCTCTAGCCTACCGCTACTGGGCTTCTAAAAATGCCAACTTTTTGTCTTCTTCTGCTCGGCCTCCAGTACCCGACACTTCTACCACTACTTGAGTGGTACCGGCCTACCTGCAACTTGAGTGTTTTTCCCCTCTGCTCTAAGTGCTGCGGGCCTACCCCCGCTACTCGAGTGTTTTCCCCCCTGCAACCCTTCACAGTCACGGCCACAGGTAAGTACCGGCCCTGCGGGGCCTTTCAACCAACAAGTACCCTTGCGGGTCACACACACACTCAACCGACAAGCACTCAGACAGGCATGCAAACCAGCAGGCACGCACACACACACACAGACATGGAAATCACAGCAGAATGCGGGAATTTCAGCAAGGCATTCATTCCAGCAGCAAATCCCGGAAATCAGCAGTGTTCTCAGTCTGTGTTTTTGGCGGGTCATTACACTACCCCCCTCTCAAGAGCGAGGTCCCTTCGAGCGAGTAACTCATTCAAAGTCGGCACAAAAGGCATCGTAGGCGTAGATAAAAAAGAGAGACTTAGTAATATCGTAAGGAGTGAGTCTTGCAGAAAACTTAACAGTCTGTCCATCAGTGATCTGTCGTCCATAAGCGTTCACAACACGTGGAGCATTCTTTAGCAGCTCTTTCCGGTCGATCCAGAAAAACTCGTTCAACGGGTGATAGAGGAAGTGAACCTTATACTGTTTGTTCCTCCCTCTGCCTTCATGGGAAACGATTCTGTCTATCTCGTGGCCGTCGTCGATAGGTAGAGGTATCATAGGATCTCGAAAGGGAAAAGTTTCATCATCGATGTGTGGAAACAGTTTGGATGCATGAAAGACCGGATATGTGTGCAGATGAGGAGGCACATCAATCACATATGAAGGACCAAAATCATCCCCAATCACCTTCAAAACCTGCCAAGGGCCATAGTACAATGGAAGAAGTTTCCGTGATACGCCCTCTTCATCAGAAAACTCGGACATTTTGACCCAGACATAATCCCCTACTTTGAAGTTCGCTTCTTTGTGCGACTTATTCACATGTTTGATCATGGCATGTTGACGCTTGTTCATTGCTGCAATAGCAGCTTTGAGCAGACGTCCGTACTTGGCATTGTAGCCAGGCATGCCCGGCATCAGACCAGGTGACCGTTCGGGAAACAAATAGGAGAGAGGATTGCGCAGTTGCCATCCGTATTGCAGCTGATTCGGTGTCACACCTGTTGCAGAGTGAATGGAGTTGTTGTACAATCCTTTCACTTTGTGTAACTCCTTGTCCCACGTGTTCTGATCTGGAGCAATTAGCGCGCGAAGCAGTTGAATGACAGTCTGATTGATTTCCTCAGCCAATCCATTGACTTCGGGATGTCGACCAGAAGTCTTGTTGAGTTTAATGTCATAAATTTGCGAGGTGAAGTCCTTCCAATCTTTGGTAATAAATCTGGTGTCCCGATCACTCGTCATAGTTTTCGGGTGGCCAAACTGCAGAATATACTGATAATGAAATTCTTCGATAACAAGTTCAGTTGGGGGAAAGGAATCAAGTTCAGAAATTTGGAAAAACGGTCGACGATGACCATGACTTGTGAATTCCCTGCCTCACTCACCTTTCCCATGTCCGTGAAGTCGATGGAAATCGACTCACCAGGACCATCCGGAATGGGGAGGGGTCTCAGCAGGCCATAAGGCTTATGCCTGTGGACCTTGGTTCTTTGACATACTTGACATTCAGCAATGAACTTCTGAGCAGATCCCTTCATTCCCAGCCAATCAAACTGTTGCAGAAGACTTCCATAAGTCTTCTCAAAGCCGAAATGTCCACTCCGACCATGTGCCAAATCCAAGAAATGAGTTCGGAGAGGCGCATGGTTGGGTACACACAAACGATCAAATTTCCCATACCGGCGGAATACAAGACCCTCGCACTCATGAAAATCAGGCTGACTGTTAGGGTCAACCTTGAGCTGCTCAAGGATGGGACTAAGGTCCGGATCCTTGGCGGTGTGTTTGACTAGATCCTCCTTCAGTTTCCTTCGGAGGTCATACGAACCCACAAGGCAAGTCAAAAACTCAGGATGGCGTGAGAGAGCATCAACAACACGGTTATAACAACCTTTCTTGTGTTTCAACTCAAAATCATAGACATCAATGTCATGCAACCAGCGGGTCAGTGTAGGAGAGATATCAGTTTGTGTCTTAATCCACTGCAAGGTCTGATGATCTGAGTAGACCTTGAAGTGACGACCCAAGAGGTAGTGCTTCCAATGTGTGAGCGCCTCGGCGTAGAGCTCACGCATATACGTGGAGGTAGCTACCTTGTGGCTGGGCATGCGTTTGCTGTAATATTTGAGCGGACGCAGGCCATCACCATCATCTTGTTGCAGCACTGCACCAATCCCAAACTGCTCGCATCCGTAGTGACTACGAATGTGAGGTTGGGATCCGCAATGCGGAGCACAGGATGACTCACCAATGCCTCTTTCAAGGCTTGGAACGCAGTCTCACATTTCTCACACCACGCATAGGCAACATTCTTGCTTGTTAGTCTCGAGAGTGGGTGAGCAATGACAGAAAATTTTGGCACAAACTTCCGGTAATATGAGGCCAAACCAAGAAAAGAAAGCAGTTCGCGTACGTTCGCCGGTTGAGGCCACTTTCGGATGACCTCAACCTT